CTGGAAATAGGAGGCTCTTTCCCTTGCTAAGTTGTAATGGCAATGATCTTTCCTCATGCTCATTAGTGATGGTCTAAACCTCATAATGACGACAGAGACTCAAAGTTGTCCTAACATGAGTTTCACCTCATGGGGTCCCATTCGCTTTGCTGCAGGTACCAACTGTGAATCACAAGCACAACCCCCAATCCTGGTAAGACTGGTTTAGAGTAGATTCTTGCTTCATCGTGTACAGACATGAGCTCAGTGTAAGATGGTAAATGCTAGCATAGAATCTGCTAAGATTTACATAGGTTGGCTAAGTTTTACGCTTTTGGGTGTCAACACAAAGTTCTTAGTGTGGCATTATATCAGGTTAGGGTCAGCAATATGACACCAGTAGCTACCTAACTTGCCCTTGTGCAGGCATTATCACTAGTTGTCATATAAGGTTAGAAAGCTGTGTTCAGCAACCCAATAAATACAAATTCTGAAATTTGTATTTCACAGAAAGCTTGGTTCAAAATTAGTGCTTGCATTCCAATATGTGCCCTATTGATTATTATATTCGTTCCTGGATGTTTTGGAATACACTGATTATGCAAAAGAAGATCAACCCCTACTGGGGTGTCTGGTTTTCTTACCCGGGGACCGACTAGTTGCCACATTCAGGGTTGTGGTGCTGTGGCTTTGTCCTTGGGAGTGGACTGTGCTTTCTGCAGTTGGCAGGTCCTCTTTGTGACCCTCTGTTATGCTCTTTGCTCTTGTCGGCATCTATTGGAGATGTAAATGAGGCAAAACAGAAATAAAACCTAATGCTTTATACTCTGTCTTATAACAGAAATGGATTTAAGCTGGCATAAATGTATAAGCTATATGATGACCTAAATTTAAAGTGGAAACAAACATAAATAAACCACAAGAATGGGGATAGGAATAAAATCCTGAAGTAAATGCCAAATGTTTAGCACGCTGACTTCCTAAGGTCTAAACTCTTCAGAAAATACTGGGGCACGAGGCATTAATTCTTTCTCTTCCTTGAACTTGAACGGCACTTTTCCCCTGTAACATTTATTTGGCACATACTATGTTGTATTATTTTTAATGCCCTTCCTCCCCCAATTAGAGTGATAGTTAGCCTTTACTAAGAGCTTACTATTTGCCAGGCCCTCTAAATACCTTCTCATATACACCACGAGAACCCCTAAGTAAATTCTATTATTAGCCCTATAGTATGAATCAGGCTTAGAGAGATCAGATAATATGCCCAAGCTCACAGAGCTAACAAGCAACAGAACAAGCCTTGGAAACGGTTCTGTTGACTCCAAAGTTCATGCCAATGTAGCATTCAACAAATATGCTAGTGAGCACAGGCAACAAAAACAAACATAGATCAATGGGACTACATCAAACTTAAAAATTTTGTGCATTAAAGGACACAATCAACCAGAGTGAAAAGGCAACCTATGGAATGGGAGAAAATATTTGCATATCATATACTTTAATATCTGATTAAAGTATATAGAACTCCTACAACTCAATAACAAAAAAATCAAATAACTTGACGTAAAAAATGGTCAAAAGGACTTGACTTCCAGTCTTTTTTTTTTTTTGGCCGTGCCACACAGCAGGCAGGATCTAAGTTCCCTGACCAGGGATCAAACCCCTGCCCCCTGCAGTGGAAACAGACTCCTAACCACTGGACCACCAGGGAGTTCCCTGGGCAAAAGGACTTGAGTAGACAAATCTCCAAATATGATACGCAATGGCCAAAAAACATACAAAAAATGCTTAATATCACTAATCATCAGAGAAAAGCAAATCAAAACCACAATGAGATTATTGCCTCACACCTGTTAGGATGGCTACTATCAAAAGAACAGAAAATAACATGTTGGCAAGGATGTGGAGAAACTGGAACCATTGTGCACTGTTGGTAGAATGGTTGCTATCACTACAGAAAATAGAATGGAGGTCCTTAGAAAAATTAAAAATAGAACTACCATATGATCCAGCAATCCCACTTCTGGGTGTACACCCAAAAGAATTAAAAGCAGGGTCTGGAAGAGATATTTGCACAACCATGTTCATAGCAGCACTATTCACAATAGCCAAGAGTTAGAAGCAATCCAAACAGATGAAGAAAATGTGGTACATACAATGGAATATTACTCAACCTCAAAAGGAAAAAAATTCTTACACATGCTACCATATGGATGAACACTGGGGACATTATGTTCAAGCACACTGAAATAAGCCAGTCACAAAATATCATATGTGATCACATACATATAATAAGTAACCTTGCATGTGATCACATACATATAATAAATATCCTTGCATGTGATCACATACATATAGTAAATGTCCCTGCATGTGATCACTCACCAGAGCTGTCAAGCCAGCAGACTCATGGGGCTCGCCACCGGCACCTGGGGTCACCATGTAATCTTCCACACCCAGGGTCGCCTTGCCATCTTCCACACCTGTAGTCATGTTATCTTCTGGCCGGACTGTGCTGACTGAAAAGGAAAGACTGAGTCAGACCTTAACGTGGAAATCATGTGGGCAGACCTAACTGGCCAGCTTCAGTCAGGTTATTTTCTTTTCATTTCTTTTGGGTATTTTTTCTTTTTAGGGAGGTTGTCATTCTGGCTTAACACAAACCATTCTACGTACATACAACTGCCTGGTTATCTCCATTGTAAAAGAAAGGAAGATGGGCATATAAAAAGGTGAAGCAGGCAGCCCCTCCCTGGTATCCCACTGAGGTATGCTGGATGGCGGGTGTACACTTTGCCTTTTCAATAATGAACCTGATTCTTTCTGGTGCCATTTCATACAATGAATTAATGCATTCGGGTCAATAGAATATCGTTTAGACCTAGAAGAATAACCTGGAAAGATTTCTAAAAATGCTAATTAGTAGGCTCTATCCCACACCTACTGAATCAGAATGTCCAAAAGCAGGGCCTCCTTCTTTTTAAAATCAATCTCACTCTCCATTTAATTTTGAGACTCCTGTCTGCTTGAATGATTAGAATCACTGCCTCTGACCACAGACCTCATAGACGACACAGAGTTCAACCTCTTCTTTTATGGTTGGGGTTATCGCCTCCAGGGGAGATCAGTAATGTACTTAAGGATGCCGAGATAACCAATAGAACCTTCTAGTGAGCCCAGAGTTGTACTAAAGAGAGACCTCACAGCCCCTGGCCCTGGCTTTTCTGCATTAGCCCTAGATGAATGACCCAATGAGAAAGGTTTCCAGAGGAGGAGGGGATGGGTGGGGTGGGATTGCAGGTTGAATTCCAGGACTCGGGAGAGAACTAGAAGTGGCCTCTTCCTCACCCTCTCCCGCAATGATCGGAGCTAATCCTGACCTAGTAGGAGCACCATCTCAACTCATCAAATAACGCTTTTCACAAGTTAAAACAAATCTGACTCATTGGTCATGGGTTCCCTCTCCAGACTCGAGCGGCTCTGGAAGAAATTCCATGACTAACTGCAATTGCAAAATAAGTGAGCACAGAGCCCAGGAGCAAGAGCGAGGGGGTGCTTGGAGACTTATGTGCTTAACTGAAGGGCAGATGTTCATATCTAGACAGTGCCTAAGTGAGCAATCCGGCCCTTGCCTTAAGATTCCTTATTCTTCCCATGCTTAGATGGCTCAGCCAAAGTCACAGCTAATAAATATCTGATCACAGCTTTTTTGCTGATGCAGAGAGGAAGGAAACCTCTAGAGTAAATTCTCTTGTTCCGTGAGCCTTCTTTTTGCACTGAGGGTCCTAATCCAATGCTGCCAATCGACGCTCTGGATGAGCCTCCTGAGCACATGCATTTATTTTTCATCTGAGGTGGGTGGAAAGGCTTTCACTAGTTAGCAATAACTGAATACCAAAGTGCCTGCAAATGGATGGCCTCCCTTTTTGGCTGGTTGCTGGGGGCTCCTGCTAAGGATTTATGACCATGATCTCAGCAAATGTTGAATGTATTTTTTTTGTTGTTTTGGCTGTGTTGGGTCTTCTTTCTCTAGTTGCGGGGGGTGGTGGCTTCTCTTGTTGTGGAGCACAAGCTCTAGGTGCGCGTGCTGCAGTAGTTGTGGCACGTGGGCTCAGTAGCTGTGGCACGTGGGCTTCAGTAGTTGTGGCTCGCGGGCTCAGTAGTTGTGGCATGTGGGCTCGGTAGTTGTGGCTCGCGGGCTCGGTACTTGTGAAATGTGGGCTCAGTAGTTGTGGCACATGGGCTCGGTAGTTGTGGCTCATGGGCTCAGTAGTTGTGGCGTACGGGTTTAGTTGCTCCACGGCATGTGGGATCTTCCCAGACCAGGGCTCGAACCCGTGTCGCCCGTTTTGGCAGGCGGATTCTTAACCACTGCGCCACCAGGGAAGTCCCAAATGTTGAATGTAGTTACCAAGCTCAAGGGGGAATATCCCTTTGCTAGGCAAGCAGTCTTTATTAAAAACTAAGCATCCTATTTTCTTTTCTTCCACTCCTGGTTTGAACTCAGTTAACAGACCATCCACTTAAAAAATGTTTTCTGGAGTGTTCAGCAAAATCACTTACTATATGGCATCCTCTAACTTTAAAAAGCAAAATAAAACCACCCTTGCTTTAAACAAATTAAGTACTGAATGAAGGTCGTTTGAATTCTTTCATAGAATGTTCAGTTCATTGAAAGCGTAACTTGATAAAAATTCCTTCTTGTTCTTTTCTACTCTTGGCCCACAGACCCAAGGACTAAAATTGCTCTGAATAGACAAAGGACATTTTATGAATGACACTCATGATTAAGAGGCATTTCTTTTGTCTCACTGCCCTGGAGTTCTTTTTGCTCCATGGGAAAGTTGATCTTTAACAAGAGATGCTCAATTCTCCCTCTCATTATTTCGGCTGAAGGCTTTCCTGGGTGAAGGGTTCCTACGAGCCCAGCTGCTGAGTTTCCAGCCAGCATCTGACATCCTTTTCTCTTGAATGGTGAAATTCAAATCATGTATTGATGCCTTCGCTCCCCAATCCTTTTTTTCTTCCTAAGACACGTGTGTGCACAGGCAACACGCACAACTGTTTATATAAGTGCAGCGATGAACCTACTATAACAGAGTCTGTTCTGGAGCGGTGTCCTCTTATGCTCACATGAACACCTTTTTCCTGCCACACCTAGCCTCCTCCAGCCTGCCGGTCAGAACCAATGGAAGTTTCCAAATACAGCTGTAAGGCATCCATTTGCTTTGGAATTTGTGTGTATGTGTTATTCTTTAAAAAGGTACTACCTCTAAGAAGATGATGTGATAATTTGATTTGATTTTAAGGTTTCTAAGTTTGAGAACAAGTGAGCACTGAAGAGATGCTTATTGGAATAAAAGTGTTAATTATGAATCATTTTTATCTTAGCATTAAAATCTAATAGCTCCAAAGAAATTATTCTAGTTTCCATACATTTCTGGGATGGCATTTCTTTTAAAATATTTTAGAATTTAGATGGAATATTAAATCACACTGTTACTGTGATTGTCTTGCAACAGTCCCAAATTCTTGATTAAAAGCCTTTGTGTAAGTGTTTTCAGTTTTGTGGTTTTATTTACACTTCTCTGATTTGTGCTGGTGAGTTGTTCCACCTGTTTGCTGGCCGATAGGAGTATCTTCTCTTGTGACCATTTTTCTCTTATGGTCTTCACCTTTTAAAATAATTTTTAAGTGCTCTTTATGCCTTAAGAATGTGTTCTTTGGAATAGATGTTACAATCTTTTTTTTTTTTTTTTTTTTTTTTTTACTAATTGGCATATCTCTTTTGTAAGTGGCAAGGTCCATCACTAGTCAAACTTATTAAGCTTGTTTTGTCCCTCTGATGTCATACTTACAAACCCTTCCTCAAGATTATGTAAATATTCATCTATATTTTCCTTAAGGTTCTTTCTATTTGTCTTGTGTTCATCTCAAAGCATGATGTAAAATGGGAATATAAATGTGATTTTCCCCCAAGGATTAAACTGTCATTGCAATAACTCCTCTTTTCCTCTCTGCTTCAAAACTAGCTCTCATTGAGACAAATGGTTTCTTCCAAATACTGTGTCAGGGTATTGGGAGAAACCTTTAGCACAAGGACCAGCCTAAATGACCTGGGCACTGCTATCTTCCCTCATCCCCCCTACATTCCACCCTCTGTCTGCAGACTCTTTCCAGAACTGATTCCTAAATCTGTGCTCCCCTCGCCACCATCTCTCTGTTCCTCTCCATATCAGCTAACCGCTGCTGAGCTAATTCTGTGCCAGGGATGTAGTTAGAATAAAACAGGGTGCAGAGAGCAAGCAGGGAGAGGGCGCCACACTCGAACAGAAGTGCACTGAGATCTCTTTCTGAGTCATAGGTTCTGCTGAGGGCAGGAGGTACAGCATTACAACACACCCTCTCTCCCATTTGTTCAGCAATGCAGGGTTTACATGACGTCTTCAGGCTGACTTTATATCACAAGGTGGGTTGCATTGGCATTTCTGTCCCCATTGATCAGATGAGGAAGGTGAGGTTGACAGAGGCCCTCCTTGACCAAACCTTAGTGAGGCTCCTCTGAGCCCTCTTCTCAATGAGACCATGGCCTTGGGCTTTCGTGTCCATCATTGCAGAGTCCAGTTTCAGCAAGAACCCTGCTAAGTCAGGTTAGAGACAATCTCTCGACCCCTCGATATGTGATCAAGTTCCCCATCTCCCACCTTTGATGTCTAAGTCCCTGGACTGCCTTTAGCAAGAATCCTGTTAGGCCAGTTTAGCAAGAATCCCCCTACCCTTGAGGTCTCTTCTTAATTTTCCATCCACTGCCCCTCACTCTGCTGCTTGGCTACAAATCCCCAGCTGTCCTTATTGTATTTGAAGTTGAGCCCCATCTCTCTCCCCTACGGCAATAGTCTTGAATAAAGTTTTGCAACTGTTTGAACGAGTGCGCCAGAATAACTTTCTTTAACAAGGTCAGAAGTTAAACGATTTGCCAAGTCGGCCTGGTCAGTGAGTGGATGCAAAGCCAAGTGTTTTGCCTGCTCATTGGCCCCCAAGACGCTTTTGTGCCTCTATGTCAGCTGTTGCCTGGAAAATGCCCACCCGTCCTGGGTTCTGACATCTTTCCTCTACACCTGCACCCTCATCCTCCCTTAAATTATAATCCTGTAAAGAAGATGTGGCACATATATACAATGGAACATTACTCAGCCATAAAAAGAAACAAAATTGAGTTATTTGTAGTGAGGTGGATGGACCTGGAGTCTGTCATACAGAGTGAAGTAAGTCAGAAAGAAAAAACAAATACCGTATGCTGACACATATATATGGAATCTAAAAAAAAAATATACATTACCAAATGTAACATCAATAGCTACGGGGAAGCAGCCACATAGCACAGGGAGATCAGCTCAGTGCTTTGTGACCACATAAAGGGGTGGGATACAGAGGGAGGGAGGGAGATGAAAGAGGGAGGAGATATGGGGACATATGTATATGTATAACTGATTCACTTTGTTATAAAGCAGAAAATAAC